GCGGGCAGGGGTGAGGGGATGGGGGTGAGGGCGGGCAGGGGTGAGGGCAGGCAGGGGTGAGGGTGGGCGGGGTGAGAGGGCGGGGTGAGGGTGGGCAAGAGTGAGGGCCGGCAGGGGTGAGGCAAGGTCCCTCGGGTGGCAGGGCACAACTATGGGGCATGCCCACTTTGGGTTCTGCTATTTCACGGTTCCTACCTCCACTTTAGTTAGCCCTTAGATCTTCATACACTCACTCTCATAACTATAATTCTAGTTAATAATTTGCCGTATTGAAGACTGAACCTAAGCCCTGTGCCAGGCAAGCCCTGTGCTACTGCGTGATGGTCCTTACTGAGCCACAGCCCTTACCTCTTTTTTTAATCTAAAAAAAAATATTGAAGGGGCTGGAGAGATGGCTCGGTGGTTAAGAGCACTGTCTGCTCTTTCAGAGGACCTGAGTTCAATTCCCAGCACCCACATGGCGGCTCATGACTGTCTGTAACTCCAGTTCCAGGGGATCTGACACCTCACACAGACATATGTACAGATAAAACCCCAATGCACATAAAATAAAAAACATTATAAAGATATACATGCAGACAAAACACCCACACACATAAAATAATACAATTTAAAAGCATTGAATATTCATACATACATAATGTGTTTGGGTCAGGTGGAGCACCTATTTCTCCTCTCTTACCCCCCTTACCCCCCATCACTTTCCTCTCTCAATGTCACGTGGATTTTTTTTCCCTCCTAAAACAGGGTTTCTCTGTGTAGCCCTGGCTGTCCGGGACTCACTTTGCAGACCAGGCTGGCCTCGAACTCACAGAGATCCCCTTGCCTTGGCTGTCCCGCGCTGGGATTAGCAAGGACCACTCTCTGGGTGCGCTGTGTCACGCCTGGAATTCCTCAGCTGAGGCAGAGGACCGGGAACTCTCAGGGCCAGCTTGGGCTCCGGGAGGGCCTGCGTCCTCAGCCTTCCTGCGGGATTGGGGTTGCGTGACTCGGGGCTGCTTGCCTAGCACACCCGGTTCGTTCACTGTCCCCACCAAACACACTTCTCCATGGTGAAGAATCTTGAGACAGCGCTGGCCTCCCCAGAATAAATGCAGTGAAGCGAGTCAGCCTAGGTCTTACACGCAGGCTGTGCGGCCTGGTTCCGGCCACAGACACACGCACTGCGCGGGCTGCCCCGCCGTGGGTGTGGCCTGCAGCCCGTGGTGCTCCCGGAAGGTCTTTCTTTCATGGCTTCCAACTGGACAGGGTGGAAGGAGTGCCAGGGTGAACGGAGCAGGGCTGGGGTGAAGTGGGCAAAGAAAGCGGGTGCCCTGGAGCCTGCCCCCACGTGGCTACCTCCTCCCGCCTTTTTCACAGAGCCTGTCCTCCACCGTGACCCTTGAGCACGCTCCGCTCCCTCCCGGAGTCAAGATCTCTTTCGAGTCTCACTGCGGGGGCCCTGAGAAGAGCGAGGGTGAGGCTGGGGACCGGGGGCAGTGCCATCACGTCCGAGTCAACCAGACGGTAAGCCAGCGGGACAGACAGGTGAACGGGGTGCGGCAGTGGGAGGAGGAGGCACGAGTCCGGGCAGCCGTGGAGGGGGCTTTCACTCATTCTTCGTTTCCGGAGTTCCGCACGGCCAGTGGGCTCAGGTGTGCTGGGGCAGGGTGAAGCTTCGCTGGTCCTCCTTCAGGTGGACTTCTGGGTCACTCTTCACGCCACCCGCTGCCTCCCGGAGCCCCATCTCCTGCGGCTCTGGGCTCTGGGCTTCTCGGAGGAGCTGGTCGTGGAGCTGAGCACGCTATGTGACTGTGACTGCGCTGACACCCAGCCCCGGGCTCCCTACTGCAGTGGTGGCCAGGGGGACCTTCAGTGTGGCATATGCAGGTGAGTGCTGTCTGCTGTCCTCTTGCCCTCCAGGACTCTCCTGACCCCTCTGCTGAGCACCAGCCACGAGGTCTTCCTCTTGACCCTTCCCTTCCCCCCTCCTCCATCCACCCTTGGCACTCTACTGGACCCTCGTGTTGTTCCAGCCTCTGTGTCTACCTCCCTTGAGAACCCAGGCTTAGCGCAGTGGTTCTCAAACTTCCTAATGCTGAGACCCCTCGATACAGCTCACGTTGGGCTGGCCCCAACCATAAAACTGTTTGCACTGCTACTTCCTAGCTGTAATTTTGCTGGTATGAATCATAATGTAAGTACCTGTTTTCCCATGGTCTTGGGGGAACCCCTGTGCAAGGGCCATCCAACCCCCACAGGGTTTGCAGCCCACAGGTTGAGAGCGGCTGGCCCGGAAGACCTTGACAGGTCTTGATGGTCAGACTCTGACATCTCCCTCTCTTTCTCTGTGCTTTCCCCTCCCAGCTGTGCCCCTGGCCGCCTTGGTCAGCTGTGTGAGTGCTCAGAAGCTGAACTGTCCTCCCCAGATTTGGAATCTGGCTGCCGGGCCCCTAACGGGACAGGGCCCCTGTGTAGTGGGAAGGGGCGATGCCAGTGTGGCCGCTGCAGCTGCAGTGGACAGAGCTCCGGGCGTCTGTGCGAGTGTGATGACGCGGGCTGTGAGCGACACGAGGGCGTCCTCTGCGGAGGTAGCTGCCGCCGTCGGGAGAAGGTTGGGGGGCTAAGGGCGCCTAGGCTCTGAGGGCAAGTTTCAAGGACTGTAGCTTACTAGCCAGAGATGTGCCTGGCACACTGGGACAGACTGCGGTGGCATGCTGTGCCAACTGTGTGTAAGAACAGAGGTCACCCTCTGCATGCTCCTTCCCCAGGCTTTGGCCACTGCCAATGTGGCGTGTGTCACTGTCACGCCAACCGCACGGGCAGAGCATGTGAGTGCAGTGAGAATGTGGACAACTGTGCCAGTCCCAAAGGAGGGCTCTGCAGTGGGCACGGACACTGCAGATGCAACCGTTGCCAGTGCCTGGACGGGTACTACGGGGCTCTGTGCGACCAGTGCCTAGGCTGCAGGTCGCCATGTGAGCAGCACAGGTGAGGCTTGCTAACCCCGGCCTGCCCTGTTCTGGAAGCCGTGTGGGGAACGGCGGCCCATGTGTGAATTCTTTGGCATTCACTGCACAGGGATTGTGCAGAGTGTGGGGCATTTGGCACTGGTCCCCTGGCAGCCAACTGCAGCCTAGCCTGTGCAGATGTGAATGTGACCCTGGCCTTGGTCCCTAATTTGGATGATGGCTGGTGCAAAGAGAGGACGCTGGACAACCAACTGTTCTTCTTCCTGGTGGAGAATGTGGCTGGAGGGGTCGTACTGAGAGTGAGACCCCAAGAGAGTAAGTGGGCAGATGCCACTGAATGCTGACTGGAGCTCTGGACACTCCATGGGCGGGACCGCAGAAGGCAAGGGCAGTGGCAGAGCTGGGAGACAGGCCCTCGTAGGAAGGATGGCCTTGGGCCAGCCCCTGGGCTCTGCTGGGCCAGCTCCTATGCCTTGATCCCCAGAGGGAGCAGGTCATACCCGTGCCATCGTCCTGGGCTGCATAGGTGGCATCGTGGCAGTGGGACTAGGGCTCGTCTTGGCTTACCGGCTATCCGTGGAAATCTATGACCGTCGAGAATACAGCCGCTTTGAGAAGGAGAGGCAGCAGCTCAACTGGAAGCAGGTGAGGCCAGCTCCAGTTCCTCTTCCTCTTTCTGCTTCTCTAACCCATAACCAGCTCCAAAGCTTTGCCACAAGGCCCCTCCCCCAACATAGCAAGGCTTCTGGGGCTGGCCCCACAGGACGGTGATGGGGAGAGCCTGGCTTTTCCTTACCGTGTGCAATGTTCCCACAGGACAGCAATCCTCTCTACAAAAGTGCCGTCACCACCACAGTCAACCCCCGCTTCCAAGGGACAAACGGCCCTGGCCCCTCTCTCCAACCAGGAAGCAGCCTCACCTAGGACTCTTGTCTTTGAGGACAACAGGGACAGCAGGGCAGGGTCTCCAGGCCCCACTGCTGAGCGGTCGGCAGTGTTTCCAGTGACCTTCACAGGGCTGCTAGCCACTGCTGCGAACATCCTCACCTCATGAAGGCCTCCCACAATAAAGTCTTGCCTTGGATTTCCGCCTCCACTGGGCTTCACCCCAAGACAGAAAAAGCAGACGGCACAGCCTAGGGCTCAGGACACCTGGGCTTGTGGCAGACGCTGGAGGTGCCACCTTCTGAGGGCCCAGCCTAGCAGCAGTCAGCCCTGCTCTCAGCTGAAATGATACGCTTTGGCCTCGACTCCTTGCTTCCCTATGGAGAAAAGATGTTTTAACAGGGCAGCTTGCTCTGTTGCAAGTTGTACCGAGGGAAGAAAAGCCACCTATTCAAACTACCCTGGCTCTTAGTGAAAAAGCTTCCCCAACAAATCAGGCCTTCTCAAAGAGAGATGGAATGTAGAAAAGCGCCATCCTTTTTATTTAAATATCCTAAATATATCACGAAGGAACATACACTGCACTTTAATGGTAAAAAGATACAAGTTTATAACATCTTATAAAAACTACATTAAAAGTGATCTTGTTCATTTGATAGTCCCCTCCCCCATAGCAAAATAAGTATATTAAAAAAAAAAAAGAAAAGTGGAGCATGGTAGGAGGGGAATTGAAGGTAAAAGCCCAGGGCCACGGCAGGGGCAGAAGGGGCCTGGGGAGAGGGCTGGACTTCGGGAACCCCACTCATCTTGACCCAATGTCAAGCCAAGGGGCACAATCAGTAGCTTAGGCGATGGCAAGTGCCTGTTGGCTGGAAAAGACAGGCAGCAGCAAAGCAGACTGGCAGGCCTGGTGCAGGAGCCCCCCCACCCAAGCCCACATTCACATTCTGATGCCTGAGCACCTGCCCTCCCTTCAGTTCCCCTTTCTTCGCACACCTGAGACATCTGTCCAGTGCTAGACCCCACCCCAGCAGGGTGAGACGTCAGGCCCAGGAGCCTTTGCAGCTGTATCCCTGGGCTCCTGGGCATTGTGTGTTCTATTTTGCTTCACTCCAGAGCCTGTCTGTCCTCAACCCCTGCCAACTTCTGGCCTTCTCACACCCAGGCCTTGGCAGTGTGGTTCCGGTTGGGCCATGTGTACACACCCAGGAGTTCCCCACCTCCCAGCTTCTACCCAGGCAGGAAGCCAAGGTCAGGCCTGCTCTGACCCAGTACACTCATGTTGAGGCACAGGTCCCTCTTCAACTGTTCCAAAGCATTCTGGGAGGCTACCTCTCTCCACCTACCCTTTCCTAGAGTTGAATGGCAAAACCACAGCCCAGCAGAACGTGTCACATGTGCAGTGGCCCAGGGGCCACAGAGTGGGGCAAAGGACTGAGGTGCAATCCTAAAGCATGCCAACTAAGGGCAGCATGAAGCTAGAAGACACGGCAGTGGGCATTCCTCCATCCCTCACCATGGCTCAGAGGAAGCCGAGGGCTGGGAAATCTTCCCTTCCTTTTCCCTGAAGTACGTCTGCCCTGGAGTTGTGGCATACCATCACCCAACACACTGGAAGGGGCACAGTCCTCATCTGCTAGGCAACAAGTTCCTGGAGGCTGGGCCTCAGATGCCTACCCAAGCTGCAGCTGTGCGCTCTGGCCGGCCTCCATTATTCCTGAAGGAGACCCCCTGGGTTGGGTGGCACCCCAGCTGCAGCCGCCAGCTCAGGGAGCTCCATGATTGATGAGACATCAAGTAGGCCCCAGGGTTGGGTAGTGTTCAACCAAACCCCAAAACCTCCCTTAAGGATCCTTTCTCTAGGGGACACACATCCTTAGGCCCTGGCTTAGAAACACTCTAACCAGCACACTGCTGAATCAACCTAAAAACAACAAAAGCCTCCCAAACCCTTCTGGAACAAATCCCGTTCCCTTGTTCTCAGCAACCTTGGAGAAGCATAAACCCTTCTGGTCGGAGGGGAAGGCTGCTCTACACTTTCTGTCCTCTAAGTTGATAGCCAAATAAATTTGGGTAATTGTCACCCCTTTTAAGCAAACAAACACAAGCACCCACAAATCAAGACACAGACACAAATCTGATCACTTTTTCAGGGGTAGACAAGATGGGGGACTGGAGCAGAGGAAGGTCAAGACCAAGCAGACACGGTGTCTTCCGCAGGCCTTCCTTGGCAGCCCTCCTCCTCCACATGGCTGGGTGGACGCCTGCCACCTCTTCTACTTGAGCAATCACAGGCTGCAGCAGGGAGTGGGCCTCTCTCACAGAAGTCACGTTTGCTGCTCCTCTCACAGCTGCTAGAAACTCTGGACTATCCCTGGCTAGGGACAGTCGGCCCTGATACCCACAACTCCCTGCTCAACTGCTGCCTGGTTTCTGGATTAAAGGACAGTGAGGTAGCCACAACCCATAACCAAGACCAACGGCCCAGAGGAAAGGGCTGCATGGGCTATGCCGCCTAAGTCCCCTCCAAAGGCACTCAAGCGGACCCCACCAGGCACCAGCGCTGCCCAAACATGGAACAGCCACGGACAACACCGCTCTTCTCGAGGAGGTGAAAGGCATGCCCGCTCTTCTTGTCGAGCGCACGCCTGTCCCTCCCAGTCTCTCTTCTGTCCTCACAGTGTATATAACAAGTCCAAGGAAGCTCAGCTGCCAGCCCCAGTCCTATTTGCTTTCAAACAGAAGGGAAGGTGCAGGGATTCGGAACAAGGGCCTAGGTAAAAAAAAAAACAAAAAAACAAAAACAAACAAAAAAAAAACAATGGCGGGGCCAGCCACAATCCTTGCTTCGCTTAAGGACTTGCCTCCAGATACCTGTATCCCCAGTTTCCCTGCTGAAACTGCTTTTGGATAAACAAAAACAAGAGCAGAACAAATAAGTCCCCCTCCCCGGTCCTCTCCACGTCAGCTGCCAGTTCCAGTCCAAGGTGGTGGGAACATCTCAGTCTTGGTCCTGCACCTTGAGTCCCCACCGATGGCCTTGGCTAAGGGTCCAGGGACCAGCTGCCCTGCCCAGGAATGCTGTAGGAACTCCCCCGAGATCCGCATAGTCGCAAGACTATTTACAGGGCTGAGGCTCTGGAGCACTGTCCTCGATGCGCTCTTCTGCTCTCTGGGGCCACTTCTCCAGCAAGGGGGACAGGGTCAGAGGGAGCAGTGGCAGGACCCATTAGAGCAGAGGGGGGTGCTCTTCGGGGACTCTTCTCCTCACCCCACCTCCTGGGGCCCCGTGTGCCTATAGAGAAAACTGCCCATCAGAGGTCTTGGACTGACACCCTTGGCACATCCGTTTGTGTCTGAGTAATCGGTCTGTCCGAGAAAAACACTGTGGAGAGAGAGAAGATTAAGTTACCAAGAGAAATCCAGGTGCCTGTTGGCAGGTTCCCTCCTGAAGAGAAGGTTATGCTGTGCCCTTGTTCTCTCAGCATGGACACAGCAACAGCACACAGCGGCTAGGAACCAGGCTCGTGGTGCTGGGCGTGATGGGTGCGTCTTTAATCCCAGAATTCAGGAGGCAGAGGCAGGAGCATCTCGGAGTTTGAAGCCAGCCTGGTCCACATAGAGAGCTGTGGGACAGCCAGGGATATGCAGAAAGACCCTGTCTCAAATAACAAACAATAGCTGGTTCTGGGGGCTGGGGTTGGCAGACTGCTTGCCTAGCACAGATGAAGCCCTGGAAAAGACCAACACCCATAAACAGCGCCCGGGGGCAGAAGGCAGGAAGATCAGACATTCAAGGTCACCCTTGGCTACAGAGCAGGCTGGAAGCCAGTGTGGCCTACCTAAGACCCTATCTCAAAAAGGGGAGCTGGAGGGTGCTGGGAGGGTTCCCCGGTCAAGGCAAAGTGGCCTGCCAACCTGGCTCTGCCCTCCAGAACCCGCACACTGGAAGGAGAGAACAGACCTCCAGAAGTCCTCCGCCCTGTGCTGCACTAGGTACAACAACCCAGCTCACAGGAGCCGGAAGCCAGCGCTGGAGCCACGGCTGGACTTCCCTGACAGTGACAATGGCAAACGACCCGACAGCCCGGAACCGGTGCGCTCCCCTGTAGAACCGGCTGAAATCGGCCAACAGAGCACAGCTGCTGCACTCCTCAAGCCTTCGCTGCTGACTGCCAGGAGACCAGCCCCAAGAGGGGCGAGGCTGGCCAGCACGCACCGAGGCCATACCACCAACTCCCCACCACATTCTATCTTAGGCATGTACACTTTTTGGGCCTGAGGACTCGGCGGGTAACCAGACACACAGGACATTCCTTGTCTGTTTCTGTGAGGTTGGCTGAGAACTTGTGATCCTCTGCTCTGCCTCCTGAGCGTTAGGATTATATTATAGCATGTGCTACCAAACCTGGCTCCTTGGTGGGTTTTCATTCTACTGTTCTGGCTTTGTGATGGACTGGGTTATGGTGACATGCCATCATGGCCCGTCATTCTGAGGATCCAGTGTAAAGTGGAATAAAGAGAGACTGAGCAGAGCATCCAGGGAGGTCAGTTACCTTCATCCCTCCCTCACTCTTGTATCCCTTGGTCCTCGCACTTACATTCTCATCAGATCAGACACTGGGCCCCAGGGCAAAGATCCCATCTCATCCTCCTAAAACCAGCACTTCTCTTATCCAACGTATCACGGGGAGAGTTAGCTCCCCTCAACTTCACTTTCCCATTATGTAAAGTGAGGACAACACAGCTACCCTAAGGAGATTAAAACATGCCCAGTGCCCAAGCTTCGGTGCACACCTGTAACCCCAGCACTCAGGAGGCTGAGGAACACGGATCTCTGTGAGTTCAAGGCCAGCCTGGTCTACAAAGTGAGTCCAGGACAGCCAAGGCTACACAGAGAAACCCTGTCTCACACACAAAACCCATGCCCAGCACTCCTCAAACTCCCACAGAACAAGTAATCAAGAAATGAAGTGGATCTCTGTGAGTTTGAGGCCAGCCTGGTCTACATAGTGAGTTCTGGGCAGCTGGAGCCACATAGTGAGACCCTGGTTTTTTATGGGGGGGGGGGGGGGCAAAAAAAAAAAAGAAAGGGGGGGGGTGGGGGGGGGGGGGGGGGGAACAAATAAACAAACCAAAGGAGGAGGAGGAGGAAGAGGAGGAGGAGGAGAAAGAAGAAGAAGAAGAACAACAACAACAACAGCAATAACACCACCCAGACCACCAAATGAATTATGATATCCCAACAAGCACTCCCAGTGGCCAGGGCTGTTCCTCTCTGGGGCGTACACTCTACTGTGGAGGACTCTCCAAGCCAGGCAGGGGCTGGCCCTTCTTCCTGGAGAAGGACAAATGCATGTGTGCTGCTGTTCAGGGTGGGCGACAGGCAGGCCTTACCTGGTGACACCGTTCACACTGGTAAGGCTTTTCGCCACTGTGCACACGCTTGTGGCGTTCAAGATGGTACTTCTGGATGAAACGCATATCACAGACGTCGCACTCAAACGGCTTCTCGCCTGGCCGGGGCAAAGAGAAGTGAATGCCAAGAGAGACTACGGCAGGGACCACACATTCCAGCCGCCTTCCACACGCCTTAGTGACCTCAAGCACGCACAACACTGTCGCAGCGCCCGCCACTGGCCGTGCAACCTCTCTGCCCCCGTTCTAATGCTCCTGGAAAACAAGGTCACAGAACACAAGCCCCACACCCTCTCCCACTGGCACTGGAGCGTCCACACACAGACTCACCAGTGTGAATGAGGACGTGCCTCTTGAGGTGGTAGCTGCTCCGAAAGGCTCCAAAGCAGTGTTCACAAATAAAGTTCTTAGGAATCTTTACTTGAAAAGAGCCATTCTGTTCCACCACCACCACCTAGGGCAACAATCAGGCATGTCACGTGGGCAGCTCACTGCCCTCTGCCCAGAGACAACGCTACTCGGGGTCCACTCCAGCCGCTGGACCAGGACCCTCTGACACCGAGAAGTGCTGCCTCCTGTCACAGCTGTGAGCTAAGAGCCTTGAAGGGAGGAGAAGGACTACACCAGCCAGCAGTAGGCACCGCCAACAGAGTGAGCTGGCTTGCCTGCCCCAGCTAGAGGAGCGCAAGCCACACTGCCCATCTGAACCAAGAGTGGCCCGCAAGTGTCACCGTGGCCCTGGATGACGCCAGGGAAAAACGTGAGCGGCAGTGACAAGAAAAGGAGCTGACCCCCGTTACCAACTGCAGCGTTGGGGCTCAGCCCGTTACCTGCCTTTTTAACAGTCTTTTTTGAATGAGAGGCCTCGGCCAAGCTGTCATCATCTTTGCGGCTGCGGGGTTTATCACTGTCTTTTCGGTGGCCCTTTGGAGACAAATCAAACCCAAACTTACAGTCCATCGGAGACAACATGAAAAAAATGCTGTCTGCTGACAGTTTCTACGGGAGAGTAAAACACCTGCTGCCTCTCCACACAGCTGCTTCCTCTACCTTTCCTGGCCTGAGTCTGCAGGACCACGAGAACCTTCCTCAGCTCTCCAAACACCCACACTCACTCTTTCCCGGCTGGGTCCCGGCTCGGCTCCCCACTTCCCTAAGCAGAAGCACTAGCACACAGCAGGGAGAACCAGAGCTTGGAGCCTCCCGGCAGAGCTCAGGTCCCCCAACCCCCAGGCCCAGTGGACTCAAGTGCTGTACCTGACTGGAGCACCTCAGCACCTCGGGGCTACCTGCCCGCTCGCCATTCTCGGCCTGCTTGCTGGCAATCTGGCTCAGCATCATCTTCTTGCTGGCTGCAGTGGGAACCAAGCTCACACCTGCTAGGCCTTCACAAGCCAGAAGACTAGCCTAAGTTGGAAGGAGATGAGGTGTCAGGTCACCTGGCAGGGCAAGGACAGGCCGTCCGTCCTCAGCATGTCCACATCTACACCCAGCAACAATCGCTTCTCTGCAGGAAACACCTGCCTCACTGTCAAGCCTGGCTTCCCTCAGGTCCTTTCTACCTGTCTCAGCGGGAACTACTCCCCCTCTGCACCCCTCAGCAGCGAAACACAGATCAAGTCAACAACCGAACAGTAACCTGTGGTTACCATACCCCACCCCCTGTGTGCGGGACTACCCATCACCTAAGGCCTCTCTGAGCTTCAGCTGTCAGGTGTCAGGTCTGTGTGAGCCTCTGAAGTGGGAGATTCCTAGGGCAGTGACTTCCTTCTCAATTCTTTTATTTTTAGTACCTTTATCTACTTGTGTGTGTGTGTGTGTGTGTGTATGTACATATGCATGCATGCCACATGTGGACAGGTGCCCAAGGAGACCAGAAGAGGGTGTCAGAGCCCCTGAAGCTGAACTGAGTTGAGAGTTGACTGATGTGGGTGCTGGGACCTGAATCTGGGTCCTCTGGAAAAGCAAGAAGTGCTTTTCCTCAACAGTGTAGCCCTCAACAGTGCTAGGACTCAAAGCCTACTTCAGATGGGGAAACTCTGCTGGTGCCCACTGCATTTTCTAGCAGGCTTTTCCCACTTTAAATTCCGAGTGCTATCAGCTAAGAAAAGCACCGGATTCTGGAGCTGAATATTTTCTTTTGACCACTTAGGCCATTCTCTCTCTCTCTGGGTTTTCAAGGGTTTCTCTGTGTAACCCTGGCTGTCCTTGACCCTGCTCCGTAGACTGGGCCAGTCTTGAACTCACAGATCCATCTGCTTTTGCCTCCCGAGTGCTGAGATTAAAGGTGTGCACCACCACCCTTGGCCCTCCCTTTTAGACCACTTGTATGAGTGCTCTAAATGAAGTTCAAAAAGTTAATTCAGTTCAAGGCCAGCCTGGTCTACAAAGTGAGTTCCAGGACCGACAAGGATGCACAGAGAAACTCTGTCTCAAAGTACACAAACAAAAAAGTTAACTGAAGAGGGGTGCCTTAAGAATAACCCCTTTACGGCCAATTCCTGAACTGACTTTACTGAATGAGCACTCCAGAATATAGAATTTTCTTACTAAAGAACACCTTTTAAAGGAAGAGTTGATCAACAAACTCCCAGATTAAAAAAAAATACTTTCTTTTGGGTGATCACTGTGTCTTGGGATCCCTTATCTCATTTCCATGAACTTTGAAATGAAAAGTCCAAAGTTAAAAATCTTAGCTGTGTTGTTTGGGCTGTGCAATTCTACGCAAGTCTCTCTCTGAAGCCTTGCTTCCCTCACACTTGAAGTGCCAGTCAGCATGCCAACTTTCCCAGGGCCAAGGAGAATGATGTAAAGCTGTACAAGGCTTCGTGGGCCGAGCAACGCTCAGCAGCTCCAACCTTTCCACAACAGTAAACACAAGCTGTGGAGTAAGCTGCAGACAGACAAAGGAAGAAGAAATCCAGAGCGTGCTGCAGCCCTTGGAAGAAAGCCAATCCCACTATAGTCAGGCTGCCATCCTGGTGATACTGGTAGAGGTTTCCTCAGAGAGAGCTCAGAGAAGCACACTGCCTTCCTCTCAGAAGACAACAGCGGCCCTGCTGGTCATCCTGTCCTTCCATCTGCCACCTTCACAATGACAAGTATCATCTGAAGGACATTACTCTGGGGTAATTAACATTCTTTAGGGGTCCCGGTTCGCAGGGATAACACCCGATCCCTTAGGAAGGCACAGCAGGCTGACTTCTCCAGAAAGCTCCCCCATCCACCATTACCTATCCTGCTCTCTAATGATCCCCCATTTAATCCCTCACTCCCTAAGACCATGGTACCCTGAACCTCATCACGTTCCCCCATGCCTCTGCCCACACAGTCTGAATGCCTTTCTCTTTCTCTAGGGAGCAACATCCTAGGCACCCTTCAAGCTCTTTTCTCCATGCAGGCAGAAGCACCGCTTCTAGCATTTCCAACTCCTTTAACCAACAGCTCCAGTCTCCAGCACCAGCCAGCCACTATGCAAGGCACTGTGGATATAAAAATAAATAATAGACTGTCTTTCCATCCCTTCCCCTCCCCCAAGTAGCCTGGAAGCTTACTGGGGACAAGGACAACCTTATTCATCTTTGTATTCCAAGCACAATGCCTTGCATGTAACAGGAGCTCAATAAAATTCCTGTTGAAAAAGAAAAACAAATGAAGCATTCACCACACTATTCACTCCCTGCTGCCCGAGTCCTTCACATACCGAAAGTACACTGAGTACCAGGTGCTTTGCCACTGGCCGTCAGTGCCTGCGATGTGGTGTAGCCTACCTCCTTCATTTGACTGGAAGCTCCCTGAAGGCAGGGGCTGTGGCCTGTCTCCTTTCCTTCCTCTAGATCTCCCCCTGGCGCTTAATACCCAGCTCGGCTCACTGGGGATGGTCAATATTGTTGGCTAAGGCAGAATTCAAGAGTGACATTGCAAACAGGCTTCCCAGTGAACGATCTTGAAGGAGGACGCTAGAGCTTTTTACCTGAGCCATGCTGAGTTTTTTCACTTAACCCAAAAGTTCAGAAGTTCTTTTCCCAGCTTTCCTTAAGACACCGTTGTTTGAAGAAGTGTCACCAAATCACAGTAATGGCTCCTTCCTGTTCTTTCAGTTCAGTTGCCATATTGAACTGCCTTTGTCTTCTCAAAGAATTTAGCGTCCTCCAAAGGGAAAACAGGTGTCCCAACAATCCTCAGGCGCTCTCTGACTTCTGCTATTGTCTGAAGAGATGAGAGTCTAGCAGCCGTGCCTTCCCAGCTGAGGTCACTTGGTGAAGCTCTAGGTCTGTTCCAGAAACCTGAAACCAGAAGGGGAGATGAGGCCCTCAGGCGCGACATCCTCAGGCCATACACAAAGCGAAGCGCCCTCAACAACTTATTTTGCCGGGCGCTCTGAAGCAACCAAGGAGGACGTGTGTCAAGAGCTTTCTTTCTAGGTCAGCAGCAGAAACTGGCCTCCTGGGCCGGAAGGAGCAGCCAAGGGGAGCAAAAGTAAGTTGGGCCTCCCGTAGACAGGACCTGCCAAGGCAGCCAGGGCTCGGATTTGCCGTCTCGGGAACGGAAGAAGGGGGCGGAGGCCCTTTGGGGCTTTTGTGCGGAGTGGGCCGGCCTGCAAAGCTGGCACTCGGCAGACGCGGCAGAGCCGTGCAGGACGGAAGCTCGGGGACGGCCGGCGATCGCTCCTGCCAGCGCGCCCGGAGGTACGTCAACCCGCCGCGGAGGTGGCGGGCGGGAGGGCGGGCACGCCGGCCGCGGGCAGCCGCACCGCGCGGGCCCGCAGCGC